CCCTGCTTCGTGGGTGTGGCGGGGGCTTTCGCCCGTGCCCGGCGGCGGGGCGGGGGGGGGGGGGGGGGGTCCAAATTTCTACCCCTAAACACTTCAACACTCCTTTCAGATCGTGTTTCACAAAAATCACATAGAAAAAATCATTTTTCGTGAAATTCTATCAGAAAATTCTTCTGTGCACATTGTGACATAACGAAAAATAGGTCAATATCAAAAATTATTTGAACTTTGATTCATTGAACAATAAAAATTCTCGATATGCAGTAAAAAGGGATTCGGACAAGAATCCGAAGATTGCAAACTCTTTTATTGTTCTGTCATTTGACAACCATGAACTGCATCGTAGATATGAATGTGGGTCTGTCTCTTCTCTCCTACCTTTCCATTAACACTCACATCCACCCACGAAAAAAAATGATATTATGAATTGTTGATCGATCCAAGTTTAATCATTGTTGAGTTAAAGTTTGACCAGCTGTATTAAAGTGTCTCTACACTGTAGATGAGCTTCACAGGATTACAAAATATCTCTTAATCAGTTGAGACAAAGCTGGGAAAGCCAGATGATTTTCCTCTTTTACCGAAAATCTAATGAATTTTCATATTGTCTTTCTTCATCTTATTTTACAGTTATTTATCTATTCAATTCATCGGATGCAGACTGTTGTAGTTTGTTTTTGTTTATCGATTAAAGTTTCCAGTAAGAAGTTGTTGACCGCTTGCTACTATTACAAATAACTTGAAAATGAATGTGATCTTGAATGTTATATGCTTGCAGAAGACGTTATACAAGTGAGTTTTGCAAAAAATGAAGTAGATTCTAAAGCATCATCAAAATTAGACATAATTATTTGTGAAAAAAAATCCAAAATAAAAGCACTAACATTAACGTGTAATATGGTTTAAAAGATAAAGAAATGAAAGAGGCAACGCTTTCTTTGTTAGCAATCATCTCTTATACCAATCTGAATGCACTCAACCATAACGCTAGATAGTGAATAAACAAGTCTTTATTAACAGAATATGATAGAAAAATTTCGATTCGATTCAGTCGAATCGAATTGACTCATTCGCTTATTCCATTCGGTTTCTGCCTCTGCTACTTACTCTTCAATTGCATATTAATATTTGGTTTCATGTAAATTATTTCATACAAAAATGCTACAACGAGGGAAAAGAGTTCCCAGTAAATAACCTTTACCCTGAAATAAATGGATCTCGAAAAAACAAAAATTCACCTTTGTCTGTCCGTAACACAGACATCATATGGCTACTATAGTACAAATATTTATTTCTGATAACTACGTGTAAATGAACAGAGCTCGTAACTATGGTATGAACAATTAATTAGAATGACAATTGGTATCGGGTAATAATTAAGATTCCTGTTGACTTTGGATTGGTATCCAAAGACAAGAACTACGAAATCTGTGTGAATTGTGAAGGAACTGTATAAACTCGATATGATCCCGTACAAAGCCATAATTCTTTGTGCACAGTAAAGAGTAGTACGACTGCTTTATTGAGTGATATAACAGGTCACGAGTGTGTGTTGTGGATGTGAGTGAAGTCGTAGTTCTGCCGTCATCAAACCCACACTCTGAATGAATCTTCTATTTCTATTCGACAAGTATCAATTGGTATCTTCGATCTATTGACAAATACATCTTCGAGACTCAGTGCTACTTGTCATAAAGAAAAAAGAAAACAGAAAATCATTTTCAAAGAAAAATGAATATACATTTCTTAAGCTAAAGGAAACATCTCAGTTTTAAAAAGTAGGATTTAGCTGAAGTTCTTTTTTGTTTCACGCTAAAACTAAAACTATAGCAAACGAATCAAATTATATTTTTCTAGATTGGGTGTAGGTCTTCAAACATACGAAATTGGAGTCGAAAATCGCTCTAAAGAAATTGTACACTAAAACGTATTTGAAGACCACTTCAATTTTCCTTGAGGAAGGGTGATTATTAAAAAACGAGAAAAATTTCAACTTTAAATTATTCTGACTTATGATACATAAGTATCCACACAAATGTCAAAGCCTGTTGTATTCGAACAGAAAGTACTAGAAGCCTAATTTTCTGACTTACAGATTGAGGAAAGTATGTCCTTTCAAAAGCATACTTAAAAGCAAATTTAGGATATAGTTTGAGACTTCAAATTTTGAAATTCTCAAACTCACTAAAAATGGCTTGTAGACAAGGTAAAATTAGAATTTCTTTCATATCCTCGCTCTGGATTTATTTTAATGTGTTGAAATGGGATAGAAATTCTGAGTAACTATGAAGCTTTGGCTGAAGAAAAATTGGAGTCAAACGAATGTAGTTCTTTTGAGTTATTGAAGTCTCTAATTATGTCGGCATTGGCGCCAAGTACTATTTTGTATGCATTCTATGTTCCATCATTCATGAGGATAAGAAAATGCCGTTTTCAAAATGTCTCATGCATATTTTTGTAAGATTCGAAAAGCTGCGTGTTTTAGGTATCTATAAAAAGTTGATGTGTTTACAAGTGTTTAAAAGTTTTGCTGAAAACGTGAAATCAAGCAATTTTGCTTTTAACGCGAATTACGAGTCATCCTGGATACACAGTTAAACTGGAAATCGATTTTCAGCAAGTCTAGAGTTCACAGTCTAGAGTGGGGTGAATATAGGTCTGGGTTGCTGTATACAAACTGAGAGTAAGTCTAACACCCACATCAAAAGAATCAAGTATGCCTGTCATGGTGGCTTCGGTTGGTAAGTGTCTGTAATGGAAAGGGGGGGGGGGGGAAGAATCGCGAAACTTGAACTTAAAACTTGCACTCACTACTTTCTTCGAAAATATACCTGAATTCCAGTAAACATAATACGAATTCAACTATGAAGAACACAGAATGGTCAGAAAATTTTCTTTCCCGTTAGAATTTTTAGGCACTTATTCGTTAGTCCTCATGGTAAAAGAAGTTTTTGGATACTAGAGATGTCCATCGCGGCAGAACATTTGCCGCTGCCGCGGTGCTAGCATATCGAAAAATTGGTATTGCGGTACTGCCGCGCCTTGATGGTACACAAGAAAAAGCTACGGCGACGCGCTTAGAACGAATTATACTTCGTACAACATTAAAATTTCATGTTTGCCTCATACAATGGGGTCACATTAAATGTACTTGTTATGGAAAGGAGCTCTATTAATCTATCAATCACTGGAAGTCCAATTCTAAGCACTGCCAATTTTTTAGATATGATAAAAGAAGTTTTTAAAATTTCTACCACTGCCTCGTCACGGTGAGCAAAAAAGATAAGTCGTCGCTGCCGCCACGATACTTTGGAAAATCTGTCGCGCCGCTGCCACGCCGCGATGCTTTTCGAAAAAACTTTGCCGCTGCCGCCCCGCTAATCGCTGCCACGGACTGGAACCCGCAAAATAGGTAAAACTGCAGTTTTTAAGTTTTCAAGAGACATTCCACTCGTTATTTCAATGAATATACACTTTACTCGAACGGTTTGATGCACCAAATGCTACAGTACAAGAAACGATGGGCATCGAAATGTTTTTATAATTAAAACGACAGAGTATTGACTGACAATCGACTTGTCCAAGATCACGAAACGACCATATAGGATCGACTACTAAAGTGGATGATTCCCATACCAAATTCTGTTGTATTCTATAAAATTCGATAAGAACTTGTGTCATGAAACCATGGACAAAGTCGTCGATTGAACGTCGGCATGTATCCAATGAAATTCGATAATCCATTTTGATAAGAGTACACAGACTCTGATTCGAGTGAGATTCTTGTTAAAGCATATAACATTCTGTCGAGTTGCTCAGATCATAATTCGTTCGACAAAGTTTTCGAAATGCTTAGCTTATTTTTTTAGGTCTCCCTGTTCATTGCTCTGTCTTTTGAGACTTCTTGAATCATAGAGGAATCTATGTCTGGGATCAGTAATAAGGCATGAGTCAGCGAATAAATGTGGGTGAAAAAGGAGCACCCAAACCAAAACCCACCCTTTTTATGAAATTTTGAAATTTTTCCTAAAAAAGTCAATCAAGACTTTTATTCTCACTCCCATCTATTTTATTAAATGAAATACAATATCTTTTTACGAAGTCAATAAAAGAAAATTCTGCAATTGCTTTTTCGTTCTTTTTTCTTCATAACAACATACCCTGTATTGTGCTTTTTTCGGTTTTTTTCTTTTTTTTCGGACGAAAAGTGTTAAAAATAGTGAAGACTCTGTTTTTCGATAGAAAGCGACGAGCTGCGTTGACTTGCATAGAATTTGTTTTTCATTCCGCACTTGTAAATGTGCACTTTCGTTTCTGTTCTTTCGAGTTGTTATAGCAATGTTACTATGGTAGAATCAACATAAATAAAAAGGTGAAAGATAATGTCAGCTGTCGTCATTTTTTTAAATTGTATTCACAGCGATGGCTAGCGCCAAAAACAAAGACTCAAATGCTCGTTTTCTGGACGCCAGTGAAGAGCCACATCAAGTTCTATTACCTATTCGTGGCTATGCAAAGGAACCTTTGCTATCACTTGAAGAAGCTATTAAACCGGTCGATGATCAACTCGATGATCTCGATATAATGGTCGACACGGCCAAACAAAACTCGAAAAAACCGGTCGATGGACTCACTCGCGATGAATCGGCTGCCATTCATCTCTATACGATGCAGTGGGAAGAACCAAATGTAAGTCTTTATACTGTACTCAATAGAAAGCTTCGCTCAGAGCGACGAGAGCCACTCAAACCATGGTTTCGTTACCTGAAACTGGTTCTCACCGCTTTATTCAAACTGCCGTCATTAAAGGCTGTAGTCTGGAGGGGAGTTCTGGGCAACTTGAGTGATCAGTACGATGATGACGTCGTATGGTGGGGATTTAGTTCATGTACGGAGAGTGTGGATGCTATGGAGCAATTTATCGGGAAGTCAGGTGTACGAACATTATTTAACATTGAATGCATTAACGGCAAAGCTATCCGAGCCCATTCGCACTACAAGAAAGAAAATGAAATTCTTCTTCTGCCTGGTACATACCTTCGTGTTGTGGGGAAATGGAGTCCAGCTAAGGACCTATACATCATTCATTTGCGAGAAACACCTGCACCACGACCATATCTCGAGCTACCGTTCACACCAACACCATCGGCGATTACCGTCTCTGCAGGACCAATAACTACTATGGAAACAAAAGTTACACAGAAACAAGCAATAGCAACAGAAAAAAGTTTATCAAGTGCTGCAATGACTGTAGTATCCGTGAAGCCAAAAAGCAAGTGTTATTTTTTTATTCTTCTATAGTTAGTTCTGTAGAGAATTCTCAACGTAAGGTTCAGCACTATGGAAACCAGTGTGCACCGAATCGAAACCGACAAAGTTTTTGCTAAGATCGATTAGACAAAGATTCTAAGCTAGAGATAAACACTAAGACGTGAATTCTAACTTGTGTTCTCCATGCAAAGGTTCTACGAATGAAGAGTTCAAATCTGTCACTATCTTTCAATAATAGTTTAATGTTATAGACTTGTGGTTAGAACTTTAAGACATATTAGTCAATTTCTTTTCCTTGTAACGGATTGCCATTTGTGACGATAAACCTTTGTTTCCGTGATTATATGATAAAACTCGAAGAAGGTCTGTTGAATGCATCATTCATTGAAATCCTCACAATATTGAAATTCATGAGTGAAAAAAAGCTACAGCTATTTCATATTCATATCGATATAATCATCTACTCCGACACGCATGAAACATTCAGAGAAATGTATCTAACTTTAAGTTTCAAGTAACATATTGTATTTCTTGCGTATGGTTGTGAAATTCGGAGATCAGTCAGAGCATAATCCTCGCAAAATATATTTTCTTTCAATTCATTGACAGTGAACCGAAGAGCTTGAAGCATCAGGAAAATGATCTTTTTGATATTGTAGTATTAAAACGTTAAATACTGAAATTATCAGAAAAAAATGAAAATTTAATTTTGTTGATGAAATACATGCTTCTACTGCACTTTAAGTGGTAAAATTTGATGCAAAACCATTATTTTCTTATACAAGTCTTCACATACAAGTCATCTCGTTTTTCTATCCAGAACATAGCCGTGCACAGCGCCCAAAAAACAAGGCGGAGACGGGATTAAGCATGGTGGTAACCTTCAAATTAAGGCGGAGGCGGTCACCGTGCCATAGCTCTTTCACTGAACGGTGCGGCGGCTTCGCGCTTCTTGATTTAGGAATCGTGAAGCGGTCGCGTCGCCTGGCGGCCGCTCCATGCTAACTGGAGAATTTTTTTGTTTTTCTTCAAAGATCTGTTGTACTTATATTTCTGAACAGACAGTGCCACATTGGTTAATACGTATATATGCATAACAACATATCATTAATGGAATCGTATAAAGGTATTTAACAAAATTCAACTAGATATGAATCCGTTGAAATGGCACAAAGTCCTTGTTAATTATTTTTACATTTGAGTATAGAAAAATTAGGAAACTAACTCGAATTAAAATCTAAAGTTCGTTCCGATCCAATACACTAGATTTTGAGATAGGTCGATCTGATATTAGATTACTTGTTAATGAACATGAATTAAAATTTAATTTATGTATTTGATTGAGGAATATCAGGATGAAATGATAAGACTATCAACATGTCATGAAGAGTGAGTCTGCTGGCGAATCAATTCACCTTCTCCACATATCAGCCCCTGAGTTTGGTTTTTTGTAAGATTGTTGGTGGTGGCCTTTACAAAATATTTGCTCCCAGAGAGAAACAAAAACAAAACCAAAATTATTAACTGTCACCGTTATCTTGAAAATATTGATTCACGTAGACTGTGAATGAATTTTTTCAGGTAAATACTCATACAAAAAGTTAATTTTCAAGAATGAAATTATGGAAAAAATTTTAACAAGAGAAAATTATTGAGCAATATTTCTTGCAAAATACTAACGATAGTGGGCATTACTATAGGTATTTTTCAAGTTTGGGTACACTTTGATTCTCATAATAAAGTCAGGATGGCAGTTAGTCTATTCTGAGTTTGATAGAACAGCTATTCAGATAAATTTTCAAAATCAACTTTTTAATTTCTATTTTATTGAATATGATGTTTGATTTAAAATTTGTGTTGGTCTTTCCAATACAGATCACTAATCAGTTGAATATTGCGTTGACTGTGATTTATTTAGAAATAAAATCTTGAAATTCAGTTATAATCATATAAAAGCTCTCGGATCCAAAAAGTTCCGTCTTATTTTAAATTCATCAGAGTCTGTTTGAAATACTAATTGAATGAAATTTGTTAACTTTATAACGTGTTGAGGCGCTGCTTTATTGATGTAGTCTCACTTTTCGAATAAGAATTAGTTGTTCGATGATATTCACGCACTACTATTGTTTACAGACAAAGTTTCTGTAATTGATTCGTCATTATTACCATAAGCCATAATAGATTTTCAAAAAAATGAATACGCGAACTAACTTTTAATGGCATAATTTATCGATCAATACATTCACATAATAAGAGGGAGATATACTACAGTGATGATACTAACAGAATGATAAATTATACTATAGAAACTAAATTTGAAGTGAGCAATTTATCGAGTATGTGCAAACGAAAAGAGTAGCAAAATAACAAAATACATAAAGACGTAACCTATAACACCTATTATAAAATTAAGACTCTTCTACAATTTAAAACAATTAGTAATAGAATTTTGAAATGGTATATTACTATATTTTAAGAATGAATAATAAGATATGTTCGACTCTTTATCATTCTTAGTTTACTACAAAAAGAGCATAAATCTTACTGAAGAACATTAAAATCGAATCTGACTTTTGAGATTCAACTGCAAGAAATTTTAACTGTTAACATCATGAAATCGGAATCGCGCGGCAACTGGGAGGCGTACGGAGTGTTCGCCTCCGCGCGCGCGGTGCACGTCTCTGATTCAGAAAAGTTCAATAAAACAAATGCTCTTCATAATACAACTGCGTCATTAGTATGTTCTCGTGATCAATATCGTACTATTTCTATCTTTTTTTTTGTCATGAGAATAACTTCTTCACAATACCTAATACATCAATTTGCATTGAGTTTTCGAAAGTTGATTCCAAATGGATACAATCAGTATACCATTGAAAGCTGACGCTGAGTATTTAGGCATATGAGCCATTTTCACATGTATATCCATATCTTATAGATCAACTTGAAATAGGGCTTAATCAGGATATTTTAAAATGAAAACAATGAAGAATATCTGAAAATAATGTCATGACTCTTTAGGAGTAAACTGACACAATCATACTGTATGAAAACAATTATTTTCAATCCTATCACTACGAGATTAAAGTATAAAGCAGGATGGAGTGATTTGAATCGTCCGTGAGAACACCCTATAAAAGCGTCACATCTAGATATGTCTGTCATATAAGGCTATAGTGAGCACCACAAGTTCATATCCCAACAAAGAAAAAGTGGAGTTTTTCTATTTCCGAATTCAACACATCTAAGATATTCAATATATGAAAAAAGATTTCAAGCTTGGTATGTATGAGGCTGTCAGACAGACTGAAAACATTGACATTGTTTTTTTTGATAAATACTTCAATCATCATTGTCAATCTTGTTTGATTGACAAGAAGATACCAATTTTATGTTGAATTTACTTTGAATGTTGACAACTTTTACTTAGAAAGTCAAGAATTCGCCACACCTGGGACTTACAAGGAACTCCCTTCAAATAATTCATTGCTGGCGTAGCTTTTGATTAGCACGAACTTTGAAATCCTTTGTTCGAAAGAGAAAAAAGTAGATGAACAAAGCTATTGTGATGAGCGTTCATTTATTGGATGATTTTTTTTAACCCTTGACTTCAACAAAGTGTTCACTTGCAAGAAGTAAAATAAGTAAACAAGAGGTTAAGGGTCGTTCTATTCAGTCATTTCTTTTGTATACTTTGCTTCATTCAAGAATATGTGAATCTACTCTAAGTAAGTCAAGATAAGTGAATGCCTTCGTCTTGAAGATTATTTGACAATCAAACAATTTTAATCGTTAGTTCAACTTGGACCAGTTCGTTTTCAGTAAACATGTATTTGGAATAGAACGCTTGTGCCAATTGCGGTAACTGCCGTTATGATGATTCATTTTCAATAGGACCTTCAGTTTATAGACAAATTAGGCATCTTAGCTTTGAAGTAAAACCATTATTAACGAACAGAACATTGATCCGCTTGATTCTTTTGACAGATTATCTTGTTTATGCTTAACAACTGGATCGTTGTGTTTTGAAGTGAATGGAATAGTTGAATGTTACCATTGGTACTATTTAAACCATTCATTTGACATGTGAACATCGAAGTACCATCGAATCGAAATAGTAAGCATAATGTAGATAAAATAGATTAACGAAACCTACTGGTGATGCTGATCATCCATTTAATAGATGATGCTCAATAAGTTCATTCTTGTTGAATCACGGTTTTCATGTCTGTAAAACAGATGAACAAAATCATCCAGCAACTTGGAAATGGATGGTGACGATTTACTAATGATACGATCGTCGAACACCTTTTTGTCAGTCGAAAACTTTGTATTGTAGCAATTAATATAAATGAATATGGGACCCAAAGTCAGAATGATTCTTTTTTCCATCTGAACTTTGGTTAATTTGAGGATTTACAATACGAGAAGAAAAAAGAATGCCATTATGAAACATGGCCATTGGAAGACTTATGAGCAGGCATTCACCTTATAATCTTGCAACAAAGCTCATTTTTCAGATTTTTGTTGTGATGAATGCAATGTTATTGAACAGGTGCATTGGGGGACCAGCGATCACGATAATTCCTCTTCTGTATAATCTTTTAATTAACAAACAACTTCATATATCGTTAAAAGTGACCTGACAAGATACATGAATAGGCTGATATACAACGTTCTATGGATCCATAAACCTTATTATCTGCAACTAGTACACTGTAAAAAAAAAGGGCAGAATCATAAACCTTTGCACTAAGTATAAATTTTCATAAACCCTTGAAGGGTTTATGATAGCGTCATAAACCCTTCAAGGGTTTATGGAACCGCGGGCTTANTAAATCTCTTATTTTCATTCAAAATAGGTTATTTATCAATGATTTTTTTCATATTATTATCGTCATAACGTGTGATTCTTAGAATCAGAAAATATGCCAGTGTCGTTATTAGATTCGAACAATATCCGAATGTCGTTTTATTTGATTGAAAAATACACAGGTGTAGTTATTAGATTCAAAAAGTACACAGGTGTCGTTATTAGATTCTTTTATACTTTATATTAAAACTATTGACTTCTTTTTCGTGGACTTTTTAAATCCGTCGTACGGGAATAAATTGAGTGCTTTGTCAATATTTATCCGGTTCCCATTGCCAGTGTACATTATAGCATATATAAATAGTATCCCAGAATATATTTCTTTACTTATTCGAAGCCTCTGCGCAGCATACAAAATGAATGTGTTGATAGTTTTGGCTGTTTGTTACTTGACTATTGGAGATTTGGTCCATCCATCATCGATTGATGATAAACATGATCGACTCCGTGAAGTACCAGACGAAAAGGAAAAAATGATAGGTACGGCATGGTCGGTTCCTCGTGAAGAAGTAAGATCAGTCACAAATAACGAAAACAATGATGATGATCATAATAATTTTGTTCATAATTCCGAACGCTCATCTGCCAGCGACTTCGAACAACGGGTACTCGAGCTGACAAATGAAGCACGCAGAAGCGGTCGCTGGTGTGGATGGTCATGGTATTCTGCCACCACTCCACTCCAGTGGAATAACCTATTGGGCAATGCTGCACGTGGTCATGCCGAAGACATGCTCGCCCACAACTACTTTTCTCATAATAGTCTGGATGGACGCACTCCCTGGGATCGTATGCTAGAGGCAGGCTATCCGGGAAACTGCGCCGGTGGCGAAAATATTGCTGGCAATTCTAGTCCTGCTGCGGCAGTCCAGGCGTGGATCGATAGTTCGGGTCACTGTGCCAATCTCATGAATAGTGAGTTTAAGACACTGGGCGTCGGACAGGCTAGTGGTGGCGCTTATGGTGGTTATTGGGTTCAAAAATTTGGTCGCTGCTAAATGCCGCGCGCTTTGTGATACTTCCATGACCATTCTTTAAATTTCTTCTTTTGTCCTATTTTACCTATCCATTTATACTAATATTTTATTGTGATTCATTGAAATAAAGTATTCATTGGATATTCGAAAAAATGACATTGTAGCCATAAAGTAATATTGTCAGAGCGAGAACAAACTGAAAATAAATTAATTTTAATTTTATTTCTCCAATCTTGAGTGTGAGGAGTGTGAGATGAATAACCACAATAATTTCAATTGAATTTTAAAATTATTTCGATTTTATTTAAAAATCTTATCAAGTGGCAATATTAAAAAAATAGTACAAGTAACAGTACAATGTTGAAGTTTATTGTTGAAACGTTTTTTTCAATAGATGACTTTTGATCATTCTGCATATGTGACCATCTGTTAATGAAATGGATCGACTCTAAAGAAAAAATATAAGTAATAAAAGCAAAGAAATAAATGAATTTCAAGTGTACTACTTTGACATTCCTGGTATAATAAACCAATTGTTGATGTAAAACATGCTGATAATATTCTTCTTCAGTAATGTCCATATTGTAGAATAGAATAAAGAACTTGGACAAAACGAAATCAAATCAAATCTAGAACAGATAATGAAACGATTTATTGAGAAGTATACTATGAGAAGATAAAGATTTTAAGAATGGGTGTGGGTGTGGGTGTGGATGTGGGTCTGAGGTAAGGATATTCGTGAAAATAAGTCTGATATCCGCACCGACAACCTACAGTCACACTCACCCACACCCCGCACCTACACCCACACCCACACCCACATCCCACACCCACACCCACACCCTTAAGAAGCACTTTGATATCATCTACTCAAAATTCAAAACAAAAATAACAGTATTGAAAAGCAGCTTTCCTTCTTCCATTGCAAAATACGTGGAAAAATTGTCCATTTCTGTCATCCTAGTTTCTTCAAAATGAGCTATTGTATTCATAAACGACGATGATACTACAGGTCACTTTCATATATTAGCAAAATTATCAATAATATTCAGAAAAATTGATGCCTATTCATATTCAAGATCCACAACACAAATACATAATACCGTAATGAACTTTCAAACAGTTGACATGAAAGTTGTTAAATATTGATTCGTAGAATTTTAACAAAGAGATTCGCAAAGAAAGATTTTTTGAATATGAATATATAAATACATATTATATATTTGATATTTCTTCGAAAATAGAGTAAAAATCATTAATTCCTCCAATGAAATATTGAATGTACGTAAATAGGTCATCAGATCTATCTTAATATTTGACCAAAAATTTCAAAAGCTATGCTGAGCATCACAGTTTGCTTTTCAGAAGACGTATAGAATCATGAAAATGTCTATATTCTATTCAAACATCGTTTAGTTCTAAGTCGATCAATTTTTATTCTGATGAAATGGGCCGCAAGTAAGAAAACGGCATGGAAATGAATGTAAGAATTTGAAGAATTAGCATAAGTCCTAAGTTCGTTTTGAATTTTATTTAGTTCTTGTCTATATAGTTAACAGTTAAGTTAATTATTCAAATGAGCTCTATAGTGAAAACGTCACCTCATAACAATAAAAATGAATTATTTAAAATAAAAAAAAAACGATGCTTTTCAGTTGTATAACTGATTGTCACCATGCTATTACAATGTGTATTTTGATAATCAATTCTTTGAATAACAGTGATGATGTGTATCATCACGAAATTAAATCAATATGCATGATTTGCCTTTCTGCTATACACTTCTGTTTTTACTAACAAAAGTAAAGCCAATGAACAACATTATATATTTTATGAAAGGATAGGCTTTGTCCTGTCGTAAGAGCTGCAAAGCAAACATTGATAAAAGATATCAATCCAATAATACATATTTTCGTCGGATATTTAAAATCATCTTTATGTTTTAAAACGACTATTCATATTAAATTACATTAACTATTTTTTTCTTTCTATTCTCTGTGTCTTGATAGATTTATCTAATCGATATCCCTAGATTTTATGTACCCATGACTTTTCATTTCTTCAGGTCACAAGTACAATTTTAATCTCTTTTTTACGAACAATAGTTCGCGATATCCATCCCTAGATGATGATATCATAGTTATCCTGCACAACAAATGCACTATTAAAAGTTTATGTTTTGTATGAAAAAAATTCTAGTAAACAGTTGGGTGTGGGTGTAGGTGTAAGTATTAGTCTTTTTTCCCATCCCACGCCCACACACCCACCCACACCCACCCACACCCACACTCACACCCACACCCACACCCACCCAAAGTTGAGCCATACAGCCAGGCCCACAACTACACCCACATTCACCCCGCGTCCCTACGCGCATACACACCTTCACCAATACAAATAACTTCATGGTGGCTACCAGCTGCATCCGCAAATCAAGTTTTGACAACCAAACCCTCACGTAGACAATGACCTACACTCACGTTTGAAAGCCAGAATCGTACACCTTCAGCCACATTCATACCAACATCATCACTTGCATGAATATACTCACCTACACCCGCACTGTCACTCACATCCTCAACTAGAGAAAAAATATCGTACCTATCAAAACTGGCTCTCTGGGACACTAAAACCGCAAATATAGGAGAAAAGACGGCGTATTTTCTTTTTCACCCATCACTCTCACGCCAACATCATCCATCATCAGTCTGCTCGTGAATCCATCACAACATCGGATCAATTCTCATACAGCAAAAGTTTAAACCAGTAATGGTATAATAGAATCTACTAGGTCTTCGATTTTAAAATGTCTAATTTATACGCACTGATAGAGTCTATACCTAACTGATGGTGGCGGTCAACCAGAAGCCAGAATATTTCTTATGAAGCTTCGAAACTTTCTGTCACAAAAACTTACTCATATCTTCACTCTCACTGTCGCCTATTTTATTATGCTCAATTTTATTATGTTTGCTGATAAGGTCAGTCAAGAAAGATTTGGCAACTACCTTTTTCATTCTTTTTATCATGGCCATATGCTTTGGGTTGGGCTTCTTATCGCTTTTCTTCTATTCTGTTTAGAGGAAAAACTATTGAAAGTAGTGAGAACAATGTTATTTGATAGAATTTGGCGAGCTGTTTCTACTTCTGTAGGCTTTTTTGTTATCGTGCACTTGTGTCTGTGTTTTCTTTTTTATCTTCCGAGCTCTTGTGATAATGTTACTATGGTAGAATCAACATAAATATAAAGGTGAAGGTAAATGTAAGCTATCGTCATTTTTTCAATTGAATACCCACTGATGGCTGGTGCGACAAACCAAAGTATGCGTTTCTTTCATTCTACTCGGCATATTTCTGTAGAGAATTCTTAGTGTAAGATTCAGTAGTAGGGATACGAATATGCAAAGAATCGAAGCTAACAAATATTTCTTTGATTGAGACTAGCTGAAAAAAGTTTTTAAATTAGAGACACACTTGTAGACGTAAGTTCTAAGGTGAATTCTAAATGACAACCTCACTAGTGAAGAGCTCACGTGTGGCATCAAATTTTAATGGCATTTTAGTATTGTAGACTTGTAGCTAGGACCCTACCACACATTACTCAATTTCTTTTCTTTCCAATGAACTGTCATTGATGCAGGCGGATCTATTTTTCCGTGATTATATAATACGATTCAAAGGAGGCAAATTGGACACATTTTTCGTTAGAATGATCAGAGTATATGTGAGAGAAGAATACAGTCACTTCATACTCACACCCACATGGGCCAAGTTTTCAGAAAAAGAATGTGTTCAACGTTAAGTTGCAAGTAAAATACCGCATTTTTTTGCAGATGTTTATGAAGCTTGAAGCTTTATCTAGGTTTAATCTTAGCAAAATCTATTTTCTTTTAATTCATTTATAGTGTATCGAAGAACTCAAAACTTCAATAAAAACATGATGTATTTAACATCAAAATAATGAAAAGTTAACTAGTGAGAGATCATCAGATTAAAAAAAATGAAAATTCCATGCATGAAATGGACATTTGTGTTTTTTGTAAACTCATCAATACATCTTTAGTGTCAATTATAGAATATCAAAATAATTACTTTCAATCCCATCACTACGAGATTAAAGTATAAAATGAGGTGGAACTATTTGAACTTTTAATAAGAATCAGCGATAATAGCACTACATGTAGATATGTCTATCATAGTAGCTTGTGATGAGTACCACAAGATCATATATCAGCAAACAAAAGTGGAGTTTTTATATTTCTGAATTCGACACATCTGAGATATTCAATACTTGAAGATAGATTTCAAGATTAGCATGTATGAGATTGTAGGACAGAATGGAAATATTGATTTTTCATCATAAATAATTCAGCCATAATTGTCAATCTTGCTTGATCGAGAAGAAACTATTAAATTTGTGTTGAAATTACGTAGAATGTTGACAACTTTCATTTAGAAGACCAAGAATTCGCCAAACCTGGGACCTACAAGGAACTGGATTGAAATTATTCTTTGCTTATGTGACTATTGATTTACACGACATTTTGAATCATTGACTCCAAACAGAGATAAGTAGATGAACAAAGCGATTGTTATCAGCATTCGTCTATTCTATAATTTTTCTCAACACTTGACTATAACAAAGGTTTCACTTGCAAGAAGTAAAATAAGTGAATAAGAGGTTAAGGGTCGTACTATTCAGTCATTTCTTATGTAACCTCAACTTCATTGAAGAACTTTTGAATTTACTCTGAGAAATCCAATATAAACGAACATCATCGTCCTAAAGATTATTCGACAGTCAACAAATTTCAATCATTAGGTCGACTTGAACGAGTTCGTCCTTAGTGAACATGTTTTTTGAATAGACCACTTGTGCCAATTGCGGGAAATGCCGTGATGATCATTCATTTTTCACAGGATCTTGAATTTATAGACAAACTGCGGATCTTAAATTTGAAGTGAAACCATCATAAACGAACAGAACATTGATTTAATTGATTCCTTTGATAGTTCATCTT